CTGGTTTAGAAAATGCTGGTCTTGGATATAGAACAGCAGTAGGAACAGCTAGAGCGAAAATTGGAAGGTGGCTTCAGGAACTTCAGAAACTGCGTCAAGCAAGAAAAGAAGGAGCTTCAAGTATAGGGTTAATAACTGCTGAAATGATCAAGGTACCCATTTCAGACTGTTATATTGAGGACATTATGAGCTTTGACAGTTACATTATTGTTATTTTTTAACGTAGTAGCTTTGCCTCCGGGATTTTGTAAACTTCTCTTGAATTTCAAAGATCTTTTTAGTTTTGAAATTCAGGGAGTATTATCTCTCATTCACTACCAGTCAACTCTAAATTTGTTAATGTGCCTCTCTTTGGGTTAGTGTGAAGACTATGGGCAGCCTATGTTTTCCACTTTCTCAAATGCCAAACCATTCTAGAAGTCTGCCATTATCCATGCCACTTATTTGTGTGTGTATTGTTATTTGATAAACTTTAATAGTGGCCATCAATCTCTTTCTGGTAGGATGGGATTTGAAGTGTAACATCTTGTTAACTCATTTTCCTAATGTTGTAATATACTAATATATTTCATGCCACTTTATTGTTTACTGTTCTTTTCTTTTCTCCTTTTTGGGGACAACCAGTAGAGTGAATTTTCTTCACTTCCTAATTTATTGCTTCTTGAAATTTCTTTGTGAATTAGTTTTTGGAGGGGAAGGACCCAGAGCTGCAGGCTTCTCGCCAAGCTGGTTTGCTCGATTTTATTGCTTCTGCCTTGCCTGCTTCTCACACATCAAAACCTGAGGCTGGCCAAGTGACGATACACCTTTTAAAACTTTTAAGAGTGGTCTTATCTGCGCCCACCAACAGGAGTTATTTTCTTGCTCAGAATCTTTTACCTCCAATAATCCCCATGTTATCGGCAGCCCTTGAGAACTATATAAAGATTGCTGCATCTTTAAATGCCCCTGGGAATGCTAACTCTCCTCCAAGTAAATCGACAGTTGAAAATTTTGAATCAATCTCTGAAGTACTGGATGGTTTCTTATGGACAGTATCTGCAATTATTGGCCATGTAAGCTCTGATGAACGGCAGCAGCAAATGCGAGATGGTTTGCTGGAGTTACTGATAGCATACCAAGTCATTCATCGGTTGAGAGATCTCTTTGCACTCTATGATAGGCCCCAAGTTGAAGGGTCACCATTTCCTTCGTCCATACTCTTAAGTATCTATCTGCTTGTGGTTTTAACTTCCAATCCAACAAGTCATTGTTCCATCAATTGGGAATGTCTTCCTGTTGAAGTCCAGGATGTTGACAATGCAGCATTTGCAGATTCTGGATGTTCCTCTGTAAATAACTCTGGAGATGGTAGACCTTCATTGTCTGTACTAAATGGCATCACTGTTACCCCTCTGCCAGATGTGCCAGAGGATAGACCATTAGAAGAACTACATACAATAAATAGAAGTGGTAAGTTGGATATCACAACAAAAGACAGTGAATTGAAGCTGGCTGATAGTTTGTGTGAGTCGCAGAATGCTAGCAGTGACCAGGTAGACGTTGCTGACGAGTTTCAGAAAACCCTAGTTGAGCAGAAGGATGAGAAAAGAAATGAAAACACATTGAGCTTGAAACAACCTGTAGCTTTCCTTCTTTCTGCAATATCTGAAACTGGGTTAGTCAGTCTTCCTTCTCTCTTAACAAGTGTGCTTCTCCAGGCAACCAACAAATTATCTTCCGAGCAGGTAACTTTACTGCTTCTCAAGTTGATGTATGGTATGAATTGCACAGCAAAGTCTTGCATTCTGGAAACTTTTCTAAAATATGGAAATAGTGGTTCATTGCTGGACTGGCATTTTCTGTTTATATTAATTAGTTAATTTTTCATTTGTAATGAATGGAGCCAAGCATCAAAAAGTAATAGAACCGAGCCAAGCTGGGAGTGTTCTAGAAAGTATCGAACTTTTGGCTTGGCTCAGTTTAGCTCAATTCCATCCAAAAGTACAGATGCCATTTTCTCTTCCGAAATTAACTTGTTGAGATATCCTTGGTACTATTGCAGGCCTCTTATGTCCTTCCATCTAATTTTGAAGAGGTGGCAACTGGAGTGCTGAAGGTCATGAACAATTTAGCTCTTTTGGATATCAAGTTTATGCAGAGAATTCTGGTAAGTTAGGCACTGATTTTGGTTGTCTGATGGTAGCATCTCAAGCTTAGCTTCATGATGATTCCTTACATATTGGCCTTCCGTTTTTTAATCTCATGAACTGCCCTGCCTTGCAGGCCAGGCCAGACCTGAAAATGGAGTTTTTTCACTTGATGAGTTTCCTTCTTTCTCATTGCAACAGCAAATGGAAAGTAGCTAATGATCAGGTGATATACACATTACAGGCTCGCAATGATAATCATGGTCATAATTATTTTTTAAGGGTTGCTCAATGCTAAGATGTCATTTTTTCTATTTGTCTTTTCCTCATCTTGAGAAGTCATTGCCTTCCCCCTTTTTTTTTTTTGCCCAATTGAGAAGTCATTGCTATGTTACTGGTTTCTGGTCAATAAGATTTACTGGCACTCTGATATTTCTATGTGTTAGAATAATTAAGTCCTTGCTAAATGATCTTGCTTATCTTATATTTGGCATCAGATTGGTTTGCTTCTCCTAGAATCTCTGTTGCTTCTTGGTCACTTTGCCTTGTTTCACCCTGAGAATCAAGCTGTTCTTCGATGGGGCAAAAGTCCTACCATACTTCATAAGGTCAGTGAACTCTTTTTAAGAGAACTTTTCTTATATTTTTTAGAGGTTGTCTTGAGTAGGCTAATTCATTATCTGGAAAGAGACAGGTTTGCGATCTGCCTTTCACATTCTTCAGTGACCCAGAATTGATGCCAGTTTTGGCTGGGACTCTTCTTGCTGCCTGCTATGGTTGTGGGCTGAATAAAGCTGTGGTTCAGCAGGAACTTAGTATGGATATGCTACTGTCATTGCTAAGATCTTGCAGAAATGTTTTGCCAACGATTCAATCTAATTCAACCCTAGAAAATTTACCAGCTGAGGATTCTAGTGAGTCTAATCAGCAGGGTTCTGATTCTAGAAAACCTCAGGGTGACATTTCACTTCGATCTGGCCGTTACAATGCAAGAAACGCTAGACTTTCATTGGGAAAAGGTGCTGGTTTAGGAAATAGTTTAAGAGTTGGCAAGAATAGAAGCCAAAGAGATATCAAACCAGCAAAAAACTTGGAAGAATCAGTCATGAAGCAAAATCTACCAGTTTCAGAAACTTCAGTAATGTTGCACTACAGATTCCCTAGCAGCTTCATCGACAGAGCCGAGCAGTTCTTTTCAGCAGATCACTAATGTGGGTGGTGATGTACTAGGTAACAACCATTCATCCTCAGCTTAATTTTAGTATCTACTGGTATTGTTGCTGAATTCTGGACGTCATATACCTAGAATCCGAACAACTTCCCCCTTCTTTTCGGCCACTGCTGCAGATGCTTTCTAGAAAACCTGTAGTGATCATTAGTGATCAGGTGGCTTTTCAAAGACTGACTGTTCTACTGAGTCATGCGGCAACATTTTACTTCCAAGAAGGAAAGAAGCTTTTTGGAGATGTGACATGCAAATAAGTTGTGTATACTTAAGATATGTAACAGATGGAAACAAGCTAGTAGATATTTTACTCTCTGATCCCAGGAGCCTTTTTTTTTTTTTTTTTTAAGAACTAGGGTCGTGGGAGAACTATCATACAGTCTGTTGGCACTTGTTTTACACAAGTTCCTGGGTGGTGGACGTTAGGGCCTCAAGGGTCTAATGGAGATATCTCTTTTTACCAACGTAGTCTTGTACCCTTTGTTGTTTTGGTGGGTTACTGAAACTGAAGTGGCCAAATTTTGGGGCTCCCATCCCATCGGTATCCTATACGTCTCTTCTTTTGGACTGCATAAAGCACTTATAATGATTAGGGTGAAAAAGGCTTTCTTACATATTTGCTTGTTGACTGTATATTCCAGTGGTTGAGGTGATGATGCTATATTTAATAATGTCATTTCAACCATTATTAGATTGTAAAATTAATGGTTAATGGACTTTAAATATAAAGGATCTTGAATTTTTTCTTTTTTTGAAAAAAAAAATTGTGAGGTGAGGGTGAAATGTTCAACATATTGCAAATGGGTTCCGGAATTAAAACCTCTAACATTATAATGTATTCCATTGATTGAAAGAGAACACTAAAATGCAATTCTCAAAATAATATGAGAAGCATTTGAGTGCCTTGTTATGCACATTAAATTATAAAATAAGAATCATTTAATGGGATAACAATTTTTAAATGTGAAAAGGTTTATTTTTTATTTAAAAATTTAAGTTGTGTAATTTAATTTAATTGAAATTGTACAATATTTTTTAAAGGTTTTTTAAGGTATATGTTGTGTTTAAAAACATTATTTAAGCATGGCAAAAATAAAATTTTTAATGAATTAGGAATTTATGAAAATTAATTGATTG